TAAGGGCTATTTAGTATAAGAGATGTTATAATTCATGAATTCTGAAGGTTTTCTTTAAAGATTTCAAAGTGTATGAATTTTTTATATGAAAATTCAGGATTAAATCCCAAAAATTCTAATCTAAAATTTTTTAAAAATTTTAAAATCAAAACCTTTTATATTCATAATATCAAAAAAATTCTTTTAAAAAATTAAAAAAAATTAAATTATTCACGGGCCACTTTGACCTTTACATTTATATTTATATTAATAATCGAAAATAACATAATTACTCTTTTCGCAAGACTGCATGAGAATAGGACCCACTTTAATATTTTTATAACAATAACATTATCGAATACCTTAATATAACACGCACGGAAATCGAAAATTTGGAAGCCAGAACGGAAAAATGCCGGGCACCGTTGGAAAAATATTAGATGAGAGGTCAATTTGGTCATTTCAGTTGGAGCAACTAATGAGCATAAAGACCCATAATTACAAATAAATAAAGCAAGGAAGCTCGTCACACGAACAAGTCCCACGTGGGACAAAGCTAGTTGACAATTTCATGTCACACCCAAACGGATGATGATGGAGGATGATTCATATTTTCTTCCGAGTCGTAGAAAAATCCAAAAATTATAAATGACGGACCTGTCAACAATGATGTTTCACGCTTAGCCACTCATAACCCATGAGGATCTTTCCCCAACTCATTAATTATTTCAATCTCACCCCCCAATCATATGGTTTAAACAATGCTCTCCTTTATTATATATATAAAAAGCAAAATAATTATGGTTATTATAACGTAAATGAGAGATCATCATCATGTAACAGAAGATAAAATGCCAGGTGTATACATAGATGTGTTAATTGAAATTACTTAGTGGTTATTTAAACTTTAAAATTATTTGATAAGGATGAAAGTATGGTAAGAAATTTGCTTATTTATAAAAGGAGATTGTGTTTGATTACGTGGAAACACACGTTTAAAATAGTGAACAATTATGCATCTTAAATAGATTCAGTTTTAAACTGTAAAATAAATGAAAACATATGTAATAAAGACAAAAAAATTCTAAAAAATTTATTTTAATTACTTAGATTTTTCTTGTCTCTAAAAAGAGTTTTGCTGTCATTCGATTATATTTGATGGGCCCATTGAATAAAACCCTAATCCCCTCCAATTCCAACATGCATTGACTAGTTCAATATCAATTCAAAAATGTTGACATTATGCTACAGAAGGAAAATAATTACCGTTATTATAACGTAAAAATTAAGTGATGATCATCATGTGACAAGAGGTAAAATGTGTGGAAGTACACAGGTGTGCTAGTTTGGATGTATTCATTGTTCATCAGAAACTACAAAACATGGTAGGTTTTCATTATCACTTGAAAAAGATAAATGTAAGAGAATTGTTGTCATTTCATTTTTCTTTAATAAAACCATTAAATTAATGAAATACTTCCAAAACCGTCCTAAAAAGTTGTAATTATTATAACATAATACCAAATGATAGAGAAAATGTAAGGGAGAATCACTTGGATGTGTTGGTCTTGATGTACTAAAACTTCATATAGAGAAAATATTAGGATTTTTATCCATTTTATCTAAACTTATTTTATTTAATTCTTTATAAATATACAATCAAATCCACAATATTTAAAATCCACTTTTAGATAAAATGTAGGGGCATTTCGTCATTTAGCCCTCCCCTTTTGGGTAAGTCCATTGAACACAATACCACAAACCCCCATTGCAATACCTGTTACTTATGTTAATCACACCCCCTAAGTATATGGCTTAGGAAATGCTCATCTTATGAGGAAGGAGGGATGATCATCATGTGATGAGGGAGAAAATGCAAAGGGGTACACGTGGATGTCCTGATTGAGATATATTCAAGGCTCATTTCAAACCGTAAAAATCTTATTTTGTTAATGAAAGATACATATAGGGGCATTGCTGGAATTTAACTTTTCTAGATGGGTCCGTTAATGAAATTTGAATGCAAAATCAACCAAATGCATTGAAGAAATCCATCTAGTGAAGGACGAAAGTGAAATTTCTCATGTTAATTAATGAAATTAAATTTAGGGACTTAATCTAGATCACTAAAACAAGATGGTTGAACAACAAATGAGAAATGCAATTTAGGTTGAGTTGCAATTTTAGTACTTGTTCCAAATAGAACAGAATTCTTAGCACACAAGGAGGATAAAATCGTAATTTTAATGGTTCTCATTCAATATAGCATGCAATTTCCTTTTCAACGCTGATAACTCCCCATTTATTTATTTATTTACATATTTGCCACATCTATTCTCTGCCCTGTTTGGAACTGTAATCTTATATGACTCGAGTGCAAATGAAGAAACCCATGAGCCCCTTTTACATTCAATATTGAAATGGGTAATAATAAAGTTTTGAAATTTAAAATTAACCATAAAAAATAAGTGAAAATTAGTTTATATTAATTTTTAAAATTAAGTAATTAAATAAAAAATTTTAAAATATTGAAATTAGCCATGCACCCATATCCAAATTGTCTTTCTTGTTCCATTTTTCCCTTGTTATAATTCCTTGTTACCAAACATAACGGAAGAGAAAAAGAAGGAATCCACTTTTCCAGGATGAGATTGGTGGAATGAGAATCAAATAACCCCACAATTTGACATGCAATATCTAAGTGGCAACAACATGAGACAAAAAGTGGAACAAAGGAAACCTTTTACACCCATTTTAATATTCATCATTTCTTTAATTTATAAATACCCAAATCCCCAAATTTTTTCAAAAAAATAAATTATCTCGTTTTAAATTTTTTAAAAGATAAAAATAAAAGCCATCTCAACGTGATTACTTAAAAATAATTAATTATTTATGCGGTATTTAATATTTTAAAGTTCTACTTAATTATTAACAACTTTCTTAAGGTGACATGTAGATGTATATGTGCTTGTGTATAGACACTGCCATACATACAAACAAAAGGCAATCGATGGAGGAAGGGGAGAAGAGGGTGGAGGTGATGATGGGCTGCGTCGGTTCGAACCAATCCAAACTATCATTGCGAATCTTCGGACGGCCGAGCCCACCCTTTCCATCATTTTGCAAACCCAGGCACAAGCCGAATTAAGCTGCTTATTTCGGCTGGGCTTTTCAATTTCTTTTCTTGCTTTTCCAAAATTACCCTTCTCTGCCATCATTATTTCCAAAAGTCCTTGTTTGCTTTGGTTGATATTTGATATTGAATTTGTCAGAAGATTAAAAAATATATCAAAATACAAAATGTATAACATAAATTGACAGTCTAATTGTTTTTTATGTCTATCGAGTCCCTGTTTGAAGGTCAAATATGAGCAAAGGTGTTTTTGCTTGAGGTGTTTTATATTTATCAAGTCTTTTACAAACTCAAGCACAAGTAGAATTAAGCCACTTATTTCGGCAGGGCTTTTCATTTTTCTTTTATTTTTCCGAGATTACCCTTGTTCACCAAACGGAATTCTACTCCAAATCCAACAAATAAATCCTTCTCTTCCTCTCCCTCATCATCATGGTACATTAAATCCTGCCCCTATGCAAGCCGCCTTCCATGCTTACACATGCATGATTGTTGTGGCAGAGAGAGAGAGGGGAGAGAGAGAGAGAGGGGCATGTCTCCCCCACCCACACCTTCCCTCTCCTCTCTCTCTCTCTCTCTCTAAACAAAAAACTTTACTTTTTCTCTCTCCTACTTTTATAGTCTATATATTACTGCCCCTCTGCTTACTCTTTCCCTCGCTTCTCTCTCTCTCTCTCTCTCTCTCTGTTTTCTTTCCTTTTACTGCTGAAACCCCAAACGCTTTCCTCGGCCCAAAGCTGCTTCTTCTAACCTTCCAAAGGTAAATCTTTTTTGAAAATCTAAAGAAACGAGGCCCCATCCCCTCTGTTTTTCTTGCTGCTTCTTCTCTGCTTTCTTTCACTAAAATAGAGTAGAAAGGGGTGCGTTCTTTAGTGGAAAATAAGGAGTTTTGGTTGGTTCACTCTGATCCCTTCTCACCGAAATGCATATTATTTATATGCCTTTTGCATATTATATACATACATAATACGAACACATGAGTTCTGTCTCATCTTCCTCGTTTTTTCCATCTGGGTATTCCGAATTCCAATCGGCTCTTGTAATGTCGGACGGATGCTTTAATATTATGCATCATTTGTATGCTATTTGTGAGTAGCATTCAGTTGGATCTTCAGGGCTGACATTTATTTCATGCTTACGTTTTCTCCATGGTTTGTTTTACTGGCTTCTTGGAGATCATTCTTTCCTCCTCACTCTGTCTCTCTGATTTCTTCTTTCTTCTGTTTAAAATTTTTGTACTATTCAAAATTTGTTTCGTGTATATAGGTGTGTATGGTCAATGTGAGTGTTGGAATGCATTGCTCTGTAGTTTCTCTGGTTGTCCAACTTAGGGGCCATTTGATTCTTGTGCTGGTAAGTTGGTGGGCTCACAAATCAAATATCACAGAGGCTGGACTGATTATGTAAAAGCAAACAAAACCTCCAAAAAGGTCCACCTTCAACTTTTAAGCTCAAGAAAAAAGTGATTTTGAAAAATGGCAGATTTGGATAAACAGCTTGTCCGTTTCATTCTCCATGATCCGAGAATTTGGATATCTTTTGGGGGTTAAAGGGCTTGTACTCATCAACCCCCTCTGTTTCCTCTCCTTTTTCACTTCTTTGTTTTGTACCCTGTTCTTCCTCCCTCTCTCTCTCTCTCTCTTTTTTTTTTTTTTTTTTTTTTAATTGCAATCTTTTTATATCTTGTTGGTTATGCTTTTGTAGAAAAAGCATATAGCAGTGTTGTCTCTACCTGTCTTTCTTTATCAATTCTTTTAGTAATAAATAATCCATTCTGAGATTTTACCCAATTAATTATTTTATTTAGCATTGACAGGGAGTTATTTATTTATTTATTTTTTGAATTGATTGGGACAGGGAGTTGAAAAGCAAAGTTTTCACAGAGATGGAAAGGCTCAACTCGAAGCTGTACTTGGAGAACTGCTACATAATGCAAGAGAACGAGAAGCTAAGGAAGAAGGCCCATCTTCTCAACCAAGAGAACCAGGCTCTCCTCTCCGAACTCAAGCAGAAGGTTTCCGAGACAAAGCCCAGCAGCAGCGGCACCAGCTCAAAGCCCAGTGGGGGCTCGGACTCTATTCCGGACCTCAATCTTGGCCCAAATGGGTCGGGCAAGCCCTGATCAGCGGGTCCAGTTGGATCTAATGGGCCCACCCCGGAGTCCCCTTTGCCCTTTTCTTTTTGTGTAAAACCATAGGAATGGGAGTAGTGGTGGTAGTTTTTGTTGGATTCTCAGTGTTATATAGTTTTAGGGGTGAATGGGTAGCATCTATCATCTTGGGTTTACCTTTTAGATATATATTTTGTTTATCATTTTTCTTTGTTTATTTTTGTTTTTGTTTTTATTTGGAGGGGGGATTTGAACTACAATGAAGTAGCTTGTCAACTAGAGAGGAACTAATATGACATTTTCAGCACTTAGCTCTCTCTCTCTCTCTCTCTCTCTCTCTCTCTGGACTCGAGTGAACATAACGATTTTAGCCTCGTGTTGGAATTTAAAATATTTCAATTCAAGGACTGGATGGATTCCCATGTTTGAGTTGGCAATTAAGGGCTTTCCATGTACCCAAAAGCAAAAAAACAAAAATAAAATGAACATTTGTGTGCTTGCAAACTCTTCTAGGCCTCAATTATAAATAGTAAAAAAACATAAAAATACCACAATTGGCAATGGAAAACGAGAACATGAGAAGGCCCTGGAAAATCAAAAGCTTCTTTTGGCTTTCAAGTGCAATAATCTTTAGTTGAATACATAAGCTACTTGCTTGAAATACCAATCTAAAAAGCATATCTTTTTTCTTCTTCTTGAATTGGAGAAATCAGTTATATTTCAATAACACCATTTAAGAATCATATAAAAATCAGATTTGGGTGTCGGATTTCAGTAACACACTCTGAGAATTATATCAAAATCAGATTTCGGTGTCGGATTTTGATAAAGATGTAAAAGTTGTTAAAGTAAGAGGGTAAGATGCCAATTTTAAATTTTAGAATACAAGCCCGCTCAAAAGATTTAATTTGGTATATGACATACAAATTAGTCAATTCTGGGACACCCTTACAAACCCCCAATAGTGGGAAAGGGGTGGATGTCCAATTTATTACAAATCTTTTGTGGGTTCCAAATTAAGAACATTTAATTTTGTTATTATGTTTTTATTTGAAAACAAAAATTGAAAATTTTGAGAGAAAATAATTATTTCAACTCCAAAATTGACAAATTTTATGTCCAATTTCTTGAGATTTAGAGGCTTTAGAACTTAAATTTTCTACTTTGTGGCTTCTGCATAAGAAAGAAATCCAAAAGCTAACTCAAAATTTTGTTACATTTGACTTTTAATTCCTACCAAAATTAGCCAGTACTCGAGTTGATTTTTGTTTTCTCCTTTCTTTTTTATTTATTTATTTTATTTTGACATTTATTTCTATCATTATTTTTAATTAAAAAATAAAAAAGAAAAGTAGGTGGTCATTTGCTGAATATTGCTTTTCCCCCTGGCTAGATTTGTGGTTTACTTTTCTTGATGTTACAATTAATTTGTCCCGATAATTATTTTCTTTTTTTAAAAAAAAAATAATTTTAGTTTAAAATTAAATTTCATTTAATTTTTCACTAGAAAATTTTTGAATACGATGCACGTGGACCGAAATGGACCAAATCCAAACATCTTACCCGTTCGATTAAATTGCCAAATTGTGCAATATTTACTGGTTCAGTACACGGTAATTAACTATAAGCCCCAGAAAAAAAGATCATCTAAATTTGAACCTGAAAAAGAAATCAATAAATTAAATTCATACTGAAATCGTTATTAATTCAGAAACTAATCTTCAAGAAAAAATAATAATTTGCATTTTCACAGATAATATTTTGTGAAATATCAGCTAATTCATCCTAAAAAATTAACTAATAAGATGACCAAGGCCTAGTATGAAGATTTTTTTTTTCAAAAGAACATTTGAAACATAACATAAAAATAAGAGAAAATTACCAAGTCGGTTAGTTTGATAAAATTTATTACTCAAACGTTTATTTTTATTATTAATGATGTGGAAGATTTAAAACAAAAAAAATAATTAGGAAATTTCAAAATACCCTTCTTCACATTTTTACATTTAAATTACAAATATAAATTTGTAAAATTACAAATATAGTTTTGTAAAATTATAAATATAAATATTTTAAAAGAGAAGGAGGCTCACACAAGGGGAGGGTCTTTGTGCAAGGAAGGCTTGATCAAGGGGGTCTCGCATTGGGGGACTTGTGTAGGGGGGTTGTTTGTGCAGGGGAGCTTGCGTAGGTGGAGGGCTCGTGTAGGGGAATGGCTGCATGGCGGGGGCTTGCGTTGGGTTGGGGAGTGGAAGGGGTGGAGATTGAGAGTTGCAAGAGCGGGGGTATTTCAGAAAATGAAAATATCATTTAGGTCAATAATTTTTGTTTTAAATCTCCTTGGCCATTATACCTTGTTCTGGCTCTCTTGGTAAATTATTTTTTTCAGACTGACCAGTTTGGTAATTTTTTTAAAAAAATAATCGTATTAAATGAAAGTTTTTTTCTTATCCGTACATACAAAATAAATAAATAAAATTTGAATTCTTAATGTATATATTTGATTATCTGCCTTTTTAAAATTATATTTTTAATTGAAGAGATTATAGTTATTAAATTTTATGACATAAGATTACAAGTAAATGAGTTATAGCTTTTGGAGTTTTAAGTCAAAAAATCAAATATATAAGTCAAAAAAAAAAAGTGACCAAATAGAAATATAGATTAAATTGATGTTTTCCGATTTGCATTTAGAAAAAGGAAAAAGGTCTGGTTGATTTCATTTCCTGTTTTTATTTTCTAAAATTGATTTTCATTTTCAAAATTTTAAATTTTAAAAAACATGTTTGGTTTGGTTTGGTTTTAGTGTTTCTTATTTTTCCAGAAATAGTTTAAAATTTTTAGTATGTGTTTTTTACTTCCAATTATTATTTTTTTTTTGTAATTTTAATTTTTAACTCAATTTTCAGAAAGCATTTTGGATGAAAGTAGAAAATATGCAAAACAAAAGCATTTTCAATCTTATTTTTTTGCTTTTTTGCTTTCATCAAAAATAAGAACAGAAAACAGACAAACCAAACAGACCATTTGTGGATTTGTTTGGTAGTCTGATTTCAATTTTTTTTTTTTTAATTTAAAAGGTGTTAATTAAAAGTTTTAAATTTTTGAATAAATATGGAAAAATAAGTAACCAAAACAAAAATACATTAATTTGATTTGGACAGAAGAGAGCCTGTCTGAGAGGATCTAATGAGAGTCAAATGTCATCAAAGATTCATGGGCAATAAGTCAACTAGAACTCAATTGCTATTTTGAAGTTTTTGATTTGATGAGAAGGATGGGAGCTCACAATGTCAATTCATAGACATGATATTGATATATTGGTAGCAGGTTGACCTCACTCTCAGATTCATGGACAAATTTGGCATTATAAAAATTTAAATTTAAAGTTTTTGATAGACAAATTTTTAAATTTTTAAAAGGAGAAATTCTTTGAGTAAAAACATTTCTCATATTAAATATCTCAAATTTAAACAATTTTAATTTTTTTTTTGTTAAAGAATACACTTTTATCAAACATACCAAATTTTCTTTATTTTAAAAGTTTGTTATCATTTTTTATATATCTAAATAATTTATTTAAATGAACAGTTAGTTTTATAACCCATCAAATTGAAAACACAAATTTAATTTTCTTAAAAAATAATTTCTAAATTCAATTTATTAAATGAGTTTTCAATATCATTAACATTTTGTGACAATTAAAACTTTATGCAATTTTCTCCAAATGTGATGGATTTTATTTTATTTTTTTTGACATTTTCAAAACCAGTTTTGTTCCCAATTAAATTACTTATTTACTAAAAGAGTTAAATTTAAAAGTCCAATTTGACATGGTAAAAAATATGCCAACAAGATTCTTTAGAGTGCTTAGTTTGTAAGGATTTTTGAATTCATAATATTTTTACTATGGAAGAAAACTTTTAAATTTTTGTCATATTTGATTTTCTTAGAAAAAAATTTTAAAAAATTCATATGAAGATTAAAAAATAACCAACAGGTAATTTTTTATTATTATTTCTATCAACTAACAAGGTATGTCATTTGAATATTAAAAAAAAAAAAAACCCAAAAGAGTTTTAAAAAAATAGCAAAACTTGTACCCAAGAAGGCGGTTGTTTTTCACATTGAACCAAACGGTAAAAAATAAAAAATTAGCAGTCTAAATTGAAAATAAACAGAATTTTCTTTTCTGATTTAATAGTTTATCTCTCCATCTTCTACATAAAATATTAGAAGTTCAAGTCTTCTCAACCCAGTGTTGGGATATTTTCTGCCTTCTTCCAAGAATTTACTTGTTGCGATGAACTATAAAGAGAATATTTATCACGTTAATGGGTTTTTGCAAATACTTCTGCAAAATAACAAGTTGAAAAGTAGGAGGGATTAAAAATGGATTAGAATAAAAAAATTGACATGTTTGGGATGTAATTTTTGTAATTTACTTTAGGAGAAGAAAAGATTTTAAAAAATTCAAAAAAATTCTATAGAGTAATTTTGAATGTACGCAAAAATTTAGAAAAATAATTGTAAAATAACTTTTATTTAATTATAATAATATTATTTATTGCTAAAAACACTCATTTATCATATTTCTAATATCTAGTTCTAATTTTATTTTTTGGTAAAAAACACTCATCTCCCTTTAAATTTATTTTAATGATCAACCCCAATTTTTTCACGAAAAAGTATTTGTCTTTTTCAATTAAATGTTGACTAGTGGTTGTTTAATAATTTTGTTAAAAAAAAAGAATACTTACTTAGATTATTCATGAGATTAAAAAATTAGAATATTATTTTACTTATTTAAAGAATTTCAAAATTTTATTTTATTTTTAAAAAGTTAAATTTTAAAATTAAAATTTAACTTTTTGATAATATAATTTTACTATTTAATTTTTTTTTCTTTTATGATATTTCAATTTTATTTAGTTTTTAGTTGAAATGATACTTATCTTTTTTTTAAAACTTAAATGATATTTAACCTATTTTTATTTCAACATTTATAATAA